TCGGGGGTGGTCCGCTGCTGGCTTCCCCGAGGCTTCCCCGTGGCTCTGGTCCTGATTCAGCCGCTGCTGGTCATTTTCAGCAGCGGCTGAATCAGGATGCCTGGGGCAGAGCAGATGGGGTGCTGCTAGGTTGGTCCAGTAGCACCCAGGAGCAGCGCTACTGGAGCAACCCAGCAGCACCCCAGCTGCTCTGCCCCAGGTGTCTCCAAGTCAGCTTCTGCTGAAACTGACCAGCGCTGACTACAGGAAGGCCCAGGCAGAGTTGCTCTGCCCCGGGCTTCCTGGAATCAGCTGCTGATCAGTTTCAGCAGCAGCTGACTTGGGGACGCCTGGGGTTCTTAAGTTGATTCTGTATGCAAGTCAGAACTGGCGGTCAGTTTCAGCAGTTTCTGAATCTGGACGCCAGTTCCGACTTACATACAGATTCAACTTAAGAACAAACCTACAGTCCCTATCTTGTACGTAACCCGGGGACTGCCTGTATAAAGCAAATAAACTGATTGAAAGACTATATTCAAATATCAATGATTCACCATCCAACAGAGAAAACATAACTAATGGGATCAATACTTTCATTAATGACTTGGATAACAGAATGAAAAACATGCTTATAAAATTTGCAGATGACATGTTGGGAGAGGCCGGAGGCATTCAGGACAGGATTAGAATTGAAAATGACCATGACATATTGGAGAACTGGTCTGAATTAAACAAGGTGAAAATTTAATAAAGATAAATGCAAAGTACTATACTTAGAAAAGGAAAAATCAAATGAACAACCTACAAAATGGGTAAAACACTGTGTTTCAGTGTGAGGTAATAGGCTGCAGTGACTGTGAAATTCGTAGCAAAACATATCCACCACAATCTCACCCCTACCGAGAGGACAGCTATTCAGTCTCTGAAATCCAAACAGCAGAGGGCGAGCAAACCAGCAAGCACAAGGAGCACCCCTGTGGTCTCAACAGTGATGACTATGTCAAGGAGTCCATTCAAAATCTCTCCGGGAACATCTACACTGTAATACAAGACCCACGTCACTGCTGCAGTTGGCCCAGATCAGCCGACTCAGG